TCTGTTGTTGGGTTAAATAAAGGACTTTTATTTACCCGGATTTTGAGCTAGTATTATTTGTTTTCTTTCTCTGCATATTAATCAAGAACTTTGCATATTATAATCTGTATCAAATCTGTTGTTGGGTTAGATAAAGGACTTTGCAGACTATGAACCAAATAATATACTATTAAACACAATGAGTTCATGAAAATTTGAGTGTTTACTGTCAAGTAAAATATCAATTTTGTTAAAAGTATCCGACATGGATAAAATATGGACTTCTTCACCTTATATAGGCTTAAGGTCAAGGTACCTCATGCTCTTATATCAATTTGAGTGTTTAGTGTCAAGTAAAATATCAATTTAAAGAGTTTGCTTGTTTGTGGCCAATAAAACCAACTCCCAGTGTTAACAATATCTTTTTGAGCACATGTCCTATTGTCAAGAAAGAGGAATGCATTTGATTACATTGAAAAAGAAATAAAATGGTATAAATGACAAAGAATAATATGTATTAACCACAGCCTAATAGTTATACTATACTCTGCATTTATTTATTATTAAACTATTCATTTTAGCTTTGATGGTCAATTTCTTATTCGTTTGATACTCAGTGCATTTCACAAATGACTTCTTTTGTGTTTATGTTTTCAAAAGGAAAAGTTGCAGGATTCTCGTTATGTCTTCTTTTGAATATGCATCTTTCCTCTTTTATGTTTGTAGTTATTAGTATACACACAGTGATAAGTGTGAAATATTGTACTATCAGTATGAAGTGTAGATGGTCATTGTAACTTTTTATGCTTTTATTAGTTACTACATTTATGTCATGGATAATGGAAAAAAAGACAGGTGGGATTTTCCTAAATGGGATGACGAGTTTGAAAGTGCAGTTGATGAGTATCTTGAGAAAGCATATGCGACTGAAGCAGAAGGAGATCAAATTCGTTGCACATGTACCAAGTGCTTGTATCGTTACTGGTTGCATAGGAATGTTGTGAGGGACCATTTAATATGTAAGGGTTTTGTTCCGAGGATAGGGAATGAGATGGACTCAAGGAACCACATCGAAAGCTCATCATTCGATAATAGGTCTGGATCTGGTCCATCTGGATTTAATGATAATATAGGTGGATTATTACAAGATACTTTTAGGGTTAGACCAAATTAGTCGAAGAGGGGCAAGAAGAATTATACCCGGGCTGCAAGAACTTTTCAAAGCTTTCCTTCACAATTCGATTGTTTCTTTTCAAATGTGACCATAAGATAAGCAACGCATCTTTTTCTAATTTGTTGGATCTTATAAGAGATATGCAACCAGAAGCAAAGTTGCCATAATCTTTTAACGAGGCAAATAATGTTATAAAGGTTTTGGGGCTTAACTATACAAAGATTGATGCATGTCCAAATGACTGCATGTTGTACTGGAATGAGCATGCAGAAGCTACATGTTGTCACATCTGTCAAACTCCTAGGTGGAAATCAGATAATAAGGATGACAACAGTAAAAAGTGTCATCAAATTCCAGCGAAGATTCTGAGGTACTTTCCTATCAAAAAAAGGCTGCAAAGATTGTTTATGTCCTCAGAGACCGCTAGTTATATGACTTGGCATGCAAATAGGCGGCAGAATGATGGACTTCTAAGGCATCCGACTGATGGTGAGGCTTGGAAAGATTTTGATACATTGTATCCAATGTTTTCTAAAGATCCGCGTAATATGAGGTTAGGGTGTAGCAGATGGATTTAACCCATTTAATAATATGAGCATCTCCCATAGTACATCGCCAATTGTGCTCATCAACTATAACCTGCCACCGTGGATGTATATGAAGCCAGAGTATTTCATGTTTGCATTACTTATTCCGGGTCCCCTTTCCTCGGGAAATGAGATTGACGTATATATGCAACCTTTAATCAACGACCTAAAGGATTTATGGGAATTTGGGCTGGAAACGTATGATGCTTCAACCAATCAAATGTTTACTATGCATGCAACTTTGCACACCACCATTAATGATTTTCCAGCTTAGGCAATGCTATCTGGGTGGAGTATAAAAGGGAAGATGGCATGTCCATGTTGCCATTATGAAACTAGCGCTACAAGTTTACCTTATAGTGGAAAGATCTGTTATATGGATCACTGTAGATTTCTGGGTGAGAATCACTGTTGGAGACGTAATAGGAGGCAATTTCATGGGAGGGTAGAGAATAGAACTGCCCCTATTCGCTTGACAGAGACTGGAATTGTGCAATTTCTAAGCAATTTTAAAAATGTATTTGGAAAGAAAAATAAAAAGAAGAAGAAGGATCAAGATCAGAATCCTTGGAGAAAAATTTCAACTCTTTTTCAGTTGCCGTATTGGCAGACTAATAAATGTCGCCATAACCTTTATGCCATGCACATAGAAAAAAACGTGTTTGATAATGTTATTGGCACATTGTTAAACATCCTAGGAAAGACCAAAGATCATATAAAAGAACGTGAGGATTTGATAGAACTCGACATTATGCCTGAGCTTCAACCTAAACAATCTGAAGATGGACAAATTATTGAAATTCCAGGAGCTGTCTTTGCTATGACTTCAGAGTTCAGAGGAGAAGCAGGCATTTTGTTTAGTCATAAAAGAAGCTAAACTACCACAAGGTTATGCTTCTAATTAAACGATGTTTGCAAACCGGAGACATGAAAATTGCTAATTATAAGAGACACGATGCACATTTCATGATGCACTATTTATTGTGAATTGATGCAAGAACAAGTCTGCATAAGGATGTGGCTGCTCCCGTGATTAGAATGTGCTTTTTTTAAAGCTATATGGTCTAAGTTGTAGACCCTAAAGATTTGGACCAGTTGCAATCTGAAATAGCTGAGACTCTCTATGAGTTTGAAAAGATATTTCCACCCGCCTCCTTTGACATAATGGTTCACCTACCTATTCACCTAGTTGAAGAAATTAGACTTGGTGGTCCATTTGCATCAAGATGCATGTATGCAATTGAAAGATATCTTCGGACGTTGAAATCACACGTAAAGAACAAGGCAAGTCCAGAAGGATCAATGGCAGAAGGTTACTTAACTCATGAATGTGTAACCTTTTGTTCTAGATATTTGAATCGTGCATCAAGAGATGATCAAATCATGAAAATATGGGTGATGAGCAGAATCCTACATTTCCAAGGATGGGCTATCCTTTGAAAGGGAAAGGCAGAAAAAAGAAGAACGAATGTTTTGGTTTCAAGATTGACCATGAGACATGGAATCAAGTGCAACGATATGAGTTATTCAACTGCGAGAGTGAAGAGATTGAGAAATACATTAAGTAAGATATGTTGCTATTTTTTATTATACATTTCTTCATAAAATTGTTTTTACTAACCCTAAGAGTGTTTTTACAATACAGTTAACACAAGACGTATCTTACTAGTCGAAATAAAAGAAAATGGGACACCCTCCAGAACCATAACAAAGATTTCATTGATTGGTACCGAGAGAAAGTTGACTATGAGATTCAAAAAGGTCTTGAAGTACATGATCATATCAAAATCTTGTGTACAGGGCCTTCTCGCATAGCTAGAAAATATACTAGATATGCTATCAATGGCTTCAGATTCCACATTGCTGACCGTGATGCGAATTGTGTGACGGATAATAGTGGAGTCACACTGACAGCACACACTTCTAGCTTTACGAGTAGTAGAGACAAAAATTCTATTGTTGGAGACGTTACCTATTATGGTTCAGTTCAAGAAATCATTGAGATAAACTATAGTGATAAGTTCATTTTTGTGTTATTCATATGCACATGGTTTCATTCTGAGAGAGATGATTATGGACTTACTCGAGTTAACCGTTCCAAGTTCATTTCTAAAAATGAACCATTCATTTTAGCATCCCAAGCACATCAAGCATTCTATGTTGAAGACCCCACTAAGAAGGGCTGGTACTATGCAGTGGAAAACCTTCCTAAAGATGATTTTCAATTGTACTAGTAATACATTTTTCTTTCTATTTGTATGTAAATTTCAGAATTTCATATTAAAGTTTGTAGGAATGCTATTTTTACTAGCTAGTAATTACAATTTGTAGAATGCCAATATTCAATCTTTAATCTAGACCTTATTTGATTCAATTCTGCAGATGGGAAAAAAAGAGGTTCCTCTCAATCTGCAGGACGTGAAGAGCTTTCCGAGTATGAAGAGGAAAGGTTAAAGAGGCTGCAAATGAATGAAGAAAAAATGTGTGCAACAGGGTTCCCAAGTATAGCAAATAAGATGATCTTCCAAACGAAAGATAAACCGAGCACATATCAGTTTACCAATGATGTTGACCTAGAAGACACAGATTACACACCGAGTGGTGATGAGCATGATGAATCAAATCAACCAAAGGTGTGTTAATTAAAACATTTATAGTCTGGGTAGGGATTGTTCTCTTAGTCTCGAGTATATACCCTTGCTTTATAGTTGTTTTACTTGTTTGGTTTAAAGTATTTCTAGAAATGTGAAATTAAGTAAAAGATTATGGAATCAAAGTTATGTGTCATCCGAATGTGTAAAATAGAGTCGTATTAGTAAAAATAATGTTGTTATTATATATTGTATACATAATACACGCGCGACACACATGCTCCACTAGGAGACCAGTTTAAATTGCACTTATCTGATAGTATAAATTATAAAAGTCAAGGTTCAGTTTGCACTTAAACAAGTCCAAAACAGGTTAAAAGACCAAACCAAACAAACCCTTCTCAAACAGGTTAAGATTCCTGAAGTACTTAATTACTTCATATACGTTATGGGTGTGGACATATATTTCTGTTTGTATATAAGTAGAGTATTCATTCTGTCAATATAGTAAAGTTTTTGTAGTGTTAATTCAATATGTTTTCCTTATAGGTATCAATGAAGGGAAAAGGTCAACGTAAGAAGGTAGAGGTTGGCAGAAGTTATGGGACATCAACTACTCAAACTTTGGCTAAGGTGAGTTCAAAGAAGGAAGTTGGAAGGGTTCTCAAGGATCAGGGCACATGCGGCAGCAGGAAGAAGTCTATTTCTGATCCAAAGGCAAAACAAATCCCTCCAGGATCCATGGCCTTGTACTTTGAAATGAGGAAAAGGAAAGAGTTGTTGAAAAAGAAAAAGAATGAAGCAACTTTTCTTGAAACTGAAGATTCTTCGAGTGAGAAGGATCATGAAAATGTTAATCATAACAAGTCCGTGACCGGTGAAGACTCCATGAGCGCTGAAGAGGAAGTAAGCAAATCATCACCGGTGAGGCAAGTTGATAGTCCTGAACAACATGACGATGATGTAGACTCTATTGACGCTGCATCGGATATGGAACATGAGGTGGCAGCTGAAAAAGATGTTGGTGCAAGTGCTAGGGCTTCATTGAAAGGTAACTAAGTCTGTCATTTTATTTCACGTAGGTGTGGATTTTTATATTAATTATCATATAAATCTTATTAGTTGCTGGAGAAAAGAAGCATAGAGGCCCGACAATTGTGGCAGCACTGCATAATCGTAAGTTTGAAGAATGACCAATAGTTATTCTGAATGAATCAGGGCAACCAATTGGGCCTACTCCAGCTGTTATTCGTGAATTCAGTCGGTTCCTAGGCACCATGGCTAGAGATTCAAAACTTGCACCTTTGAATTATGTTACTTGGCATAAGGTTCCGCAAACTAAGTTAGACAATATGTGGAATTAAGTCCTGGTAAGTTCATTACACTCTGCTATAGTTTATTGATCTTTATTTTAGATGATTTAGATGAAATATGCAAAGTTGAGTGTGATTGCTATGTATGTAATACTGATGCAGGAGAAGTATGTTGTTCCTACAGAAGGACAAAGGTGGGTTTTTGCTACCCTTAATGATTTGTGGCGTGTTCACAAGTCAAGATTGAAACAAAAACATTTTTATAAATACAATACAGTAGAAGAAAGATGGGCTAATCAGCCAAAGAGTGTTCCTAATCAACCGTTCCTAGATCTTTTGAACTACTGGAACCTCGAAGATGTTAAGGTATGTATAGTATTCGTACCGAGAAGGTAGGGATGTATATCATATTATATATGTCTAATATGAAGTTGATTTATGAAAATTGTAGGAGGAAAGCAATACCAATAGGCAAAATTGCATGAAGCATGATGACCCACACACTTTGGGCCCGATATCATTCACATTATTGCGTCATACAATGGTAATAGTGTTCTGATTTGATCATGTTATTTAAAATCAGATTATTCATGCTTGTAATTATTTACACACTTCATTTATATATTCCACCTTAAACATATGTGTTAACAAAAAAATAAGGATCCCAATAAAGAATAGCCGTCAGATTCCACTATGTATAAGGAGTCCAGGATGAGAATTGTGGATGGTCAATGCATGACAAAGATTTACCCTGGTGCTGAGCAGAATAGGCGTGTACGCCTTCGTGGTCGGGGCGTGACCAAGTCCAAAATGGATGAAACTAACAATAAGCAATCTAGCTACATAATGCCAGAGGAGTTGTTGCAAAGTGTCAAAGAACAGTTGGCTCCGAGCATGAAAAACGATTTGAAATAGGAAGTTGCAAAAGATGTAGCGTCCATGGTACTCTCACAAATAAAGGCAGCTAATCCTGGGATAAGTTTGAACATTCCAGAGTTTTGTGTGTCCTCAAAAAACCAATCATCAGAACGTGAGGTAGATGGGTCTAATGGGCAATCCTCTGTTGGAGCACACTTGATGTTGAAGGCAATATAACTTCTTTGAAATCATTTGATTGTTCTGGAAATGGTTTTGGTCTATTAATTAACAATGTTGGAAAGGTATTATGAGGTTGAAAAATGCATGATGGTGGAGTGGTACAAATTAAAGTTGCACCATGTTAGTTTATATTGTTGTGTAAAGGTTTAGGGGTTACTGAAATGAAGCACTTAACTCAGCTGCCAATTTTGTATTGTAAATTTGTAAATGAACAAATAAAACCTGCTTGAAAATTAAAAATGCATAGCTTGTGTTAAGGAGACTCTCTAGCTCTACTTTCATGCATACACCTTTGCATTGACATTGATATTAATCAAACATGAATCCGGCTTTTGCCACTTTGTCAACTCCTTCAATATTCCCTCTCCTTCAATGTCAATCCTACATTCTTCCACTCTCCATCCTTCAAGCATAGCCACACTCCTGACCGGCACAATCTCACTTCAAAGCATTCTGAAATTAAGCTCTAGATCAAACAGATTAGTATTCTTAAAGTATTTAGAAGTTAGCTAACAAATTGAACAAAATGTAAGTTTCCTAAAAAACACAAGATGTTAGTTAAAATGCTTCTCAAGATGTATAGTGATTTATTTTCACACATGAGGCAGTTCTCTGTTCTCTATACTTTGTACTCAACATGATAACACTCTCTTTGATTGTAAGGTGCCTCCAGGTTGTTTCATCATTTTTTTCTTAAATAAATTGTACTATATCAAAGGCTTTGAGCATTTTAGAGTTACTGTAACATGCAGTTTTCAGGTTATGTTGGTCATTAAAGCTTACTCATGGGTGCCTAATTATTTGAAATATTTGTTTACAGGTGAGGGATTCGCATGAGGATGAAGATGGTACGGAATCAAATGATGAATGATGCATACCCATGACTGACTTGAGCTTCTCCTAGTAGTAATGATAAACAATCTTTTGCTTTGTGAACATGATGTTCAATATTTTGCTACTTAATTATCAAACTGATGCACACTAATTAGTAGTGCATAATTATATGTTTTTATGTTTGATTGATGGTGATTGTTTGACGTTTTATTTAGTTTGTAAACATTTGTGTGATTTTAGTTGTAATTTTATTTTAGTTCTCATTTGTAAGTTGTAAAGTAGAATTAGGAATTAGGAATTAGGATGTTGAAAAGGAGGATGTTGAAGTGAAGAAAAAGGAATTTTCACTGTCCGGGAGCAAATACCCGACCGGGTAGAAAACTTCACCCGGTCGGGTCTGATTTGAAAACCGAACTGCTGAGGAAAGAGCTGGACCCGGTCGGGCCCCATACCTCACCCGGTCGGGTGAGAAGTGACCGGGGACAACCCGGTGTGCGAAGATCACCAGAACGTGGTGAATTATCTGATTTTGACCGGACCCGGTCGGGTAAGTACTTGACCCGGTCGGGTACCCGGCCAAAGGTGTTGAAAAACACCTAGAAATAGCACTCTTTTTCTTCTCTAAAAATCATCCTTTCTTCCATACTCCTAAGCTCAGTTTAGAATAGCATTTCTTATATTTTTATAGCATATTTAGTCTCCAAATGAGGAGCTAAACTTCCATTTCTTGGTGTTGCTCTTGAAGCTTGTTGATTATTAAAGTTGTGAGTTATTTTCTTAACCTCTTTCCTTGAATATTAATTAATAGTTCTTTCCTTAATACCATCTCTATATTAATGTTGGGGAGTGTTGCTAAGATGACAATTAGTTAACATCTCGACATTAGTTAGAATAGTATTTTCTTCCTCTATATTAATGTTGGGGAGTGTTGCTAAGATGACAATTAGTTAACATCTTGATATTAATTATAGTAGGATTCATCTTCCTTAATAATGTTCTTCCTTGAATATTAATTAATTCCTACTCATATTTCATATTAATATTTTGAACATTACTTAAAGGATCAACTAGTTTTGTTTCATATATTAATTATTACTAGAAACGATCAATGAACCAGTGGTTAATCGTTGATCGTTTCACAAGTGAGTAACTTCGGTTTATTAATGCACGGATGCGGTTCATAAACTTAAGAGGAATTAACTTTGTTGGTTAAACCGAAACTGTAGTGTTGAGGTTATCAATCTCAATTGATTTCATTAAGGAGTTAGAAAGATTAAATGCTACTATTAAATCGGTATAAGGCGTTGTTCGATATTTGATTAATAGTGAGGGTTATTAATGAACGGTCGTTGTTAATAACTACCCTCGATGAAGTGGATATACTCCCGATTGAGTATTCGAGAGGGAATAACTTATAGATATATCAATGATCGACTAAAATATATCAACAAGTGGAGAGAAGCAATGTCAAGTCCTTTTTATCTTTGAATTAAATCACATATAAGTTGTTCATCTTAGTTCTTAATTAAATTAAATCACTCAATCCAAATCCCCCCTTTTTATTTACTTAATTCATTAAAAAGAGAATTATTCCTTTCCCTGTGGATACAAACTCTACTTCACCTATACTACGTATAAGTGTTGTATTGATAAATTATTTGGAGTGCACCTCACGACAAGTGCTCGTCAAATTTGGCGCCGTTGCCGGGAAAAGGCAATTAATTTTTCTTTTTATTCCATTTCAAGAAAAATAAAAAAAATAAAATATAAAGAATTCTTATATTTCTATTCTTCTGAGCTTTATTTGAGTATATGGTTAAACACCGATCTATAAACCAAATCACCTACCAAACAAAGCGCGAAACAGAACAAGCCTTCGAGAGGTTTAGGAATTTATTTTCGATACTTCTTCGGAGGAATCATCAAGTGCTAGTTCGCATTCTAGAGACACCGAAGAGCCAATCACTATGGCTCTTGAAACGAGAACGTTGAGGGAGCTCACGGCTCCTAATCTTAACCATGAACCGCTATGTATCACCTTCCCTACTCTTGATGAAGGTGCTACATTTGAGCTCAAATCGGGGCTCATCCATCTCCTTCCTTCATTCCATGGTCTACGAGGCGAGGACCCAAACAAACATCTATCGGAATTCCATATTGTTTGCACAAGCATGTGCCCAAATGGAGTTACCGAGGAGCAGATCAAGTTGAGGGCCTTTCCGTTCTTCCTAAAAGATACCGCAAAAGATTGATTATTCTATCTTCCTTCGGGAAGTATAGGTACATGGGCGGCCATGAAGAAAGCTTTCCTCGAAAGGTACTATCCTGCCTCTGTCTCCTCATCTCTCAAAAAGCAAATCAGCAATGTAGAGCAGAAAGATGATGAATCGTTCTACGAATATTGGGAACGATTCAAGAAACTTTGTGCGAGCTGTCCATACCACGGCTATTCGGAGCAAGACCTCATCCTATACTTCTATGATGGTCTTTGCAATGATGATAGGTGGATGATCAACACCGCACGTGGAAGAGGAATTGTAAACAAAATCCCTTCCCAGGCTAGGAATCTTATCTCGGAGTTGGCCGAGAATTGTAGACAATATGACCGGCGATCATAAAAAAGAGTTATGGCGGCAGAATCTAACACCTCGTTGGAAAGTCAAGTGGCCGGCTTGACTTCTTTGGTTAAAGATTTTCTCTTAAATCCAAAAACAAAAGAAGTCAAGGTCTGCGACATATGTTCAACACAAGGGCATCCCACCGATTCTTGCCCAACACTACAAGAGGAGAATCCCGAACAAGTCAACGCATTGGGGTTCCAAGGTCAAAGGAGGTACGATCCGCATGGCAACACATACAATCCAGGATGGAGAGATCATACAAATTTAAGGTATGGAAATCCTCAACAACCAAATTCTTCTTCCAAACAATACAACCAGCCCTCCCAAGGCCAAACTTCAAGCTCAAATATGTCCACTGAAGACATGATTCGAACACTTACCATGAGTGTATCAACGATACAACAAAGTGTGGCCCAATTTCAAGAAACGACTAAATCTAGCATTCAAAATTTGGAGAACCAAATGAGCCAAATTTCGAGTGCTGTGAGCCGGCTCGAGGCAAAAGATTCAGGTAGACTCCCCTCTCAAACGGAGCAAAACCCAAGACAATATGTTAATGCAATCATGTTGAGGAGTGGGACGACATTGAAAGAGGTGCATAGGGAAGAAGAGCAAGATAAAAAGGAGGTTGGCCTCGAAGAAGATTTTCAACCGGAAGAGAGGACCATAAAAGCAAAGTTTCCACCATTGTCCTCATATGAACCACTACCCTCATTCCCTGAAGCACTGAAGGAAACAAGGAAGCTGGAGAAAGATGCTGACATATATGAGATGTTTGCAAAATGTGAGGTAAACATTCCGCTCCTTAACTTAATTCAAAGTGTTCCCCGTTTTGCTAAATTTTTAAAAGAATTATGCACAATTAAAAGAAAAAGCAAATTAAAGGGAAAAGAAAAGGTGGGGGGTTAGTGAACGTGTCTCGGCGATCTTTCAAAAGAAACTCCCTGA